ATTAGACTGTAGAAATCTTAAACACAAATTCTCTATTTCCAATGCAAACGTTGTCAGGATACAACAAGCAGATTTGATCTGAGACATATAGTTCACAAGTGGTGCCTTTGATCTGCAGCGTAATGGAGTTTAAGAGTCTTTTCATCACATTTCTTGGTAAATACAATCTTACTAAGTTTTAAGACTCTGAACAGTTTATCAAACTTGCGTGACGATTTCCTGTGATCAGACTGAGGAATCAGTGAAAGCGTGAGAATTTCATGTCATGCATGCTGTCTAAGCGACACAGAGGTTCCTAAGCATGCTGTATCATCTGTTGCTGCAGAATAATTATTTTGCTCGTTTGTTGTGCACGTTTGTGTACATTTGTCTGTACTGTTTGAAAATATCTCATAAATGTCTAAAAAGGTTTTAATGACACTTGTAATTAAAATGATGCCTAAATCTGATTAACTTTTAGAGTTAGTTTGTTTGAAGATGGCTGCCATATCAGATCGACCTCAGCAACACCTCAGTAAACTTTCATACTGAGCTTAAATTTGACCAAAATAGTTTGAAATTCTTCATTTCTGACCCTAAGATGTTCCCAGGCTGATGGTGGTGAGCATTCCTTCAAAGTAGTAGAGGATAAAAAGGAAAGAAAAAGACAAGCTTTTTTCCTGCCTTATTATTATTATTATTATTTGACCAACTTCAATGTCATTCAATGCTCAAAAGCAATATATATTTTTTAAAAGAAGAAAAAAAATCAGAGCAAGGGATGTACTTTTTCAAATTACTGTCTTCATCCTGATTCTTTACCTCACACTGTTAATGATTGGAAGAACCAATGAAAAAACAAAACAATGAGTTTGTTGAAGAACCACATCTTTCTGTTGTTGATCTTCCAAGTTGTGATAGACGCACATTTTGTACACTTACAGCACCAGGAATCACAAAGATTCTCCATTTCCATAACACTACTTCTTATACTAGTTTAGGAACAAACCTGCTCTGACCTTTCAATTACAAGAACACTCTGCTCCCAGACTTGTACTTTTCTAAATGTTCTGAACTTGATCATCCTTTTTATCTGAAGTTTAGTGACAGTGACAGTATTTATTTTCACTTATAAAGAATTGATACGGCTAGTCCTTCTGATTTTAAGGCACATTTAAGTCATAAGAATAGCATGAAATGTAAAAAGTCAGCTATTTAATAACATGAACTAAAAACTTTGTTAGTCTTTTAAATGAAGAGTAACAAATAATGTAGAAGACAAATGCATTACGTTTTGCTAAGACATGCTTGTAGCCAATAGACACTGTCCATATTTTATGTAAAAACATTTCAAAATGTGTTATTCTCAAAGTGTATGTTGTGGATGATTCTCAGCTATTACCACACCAAATCTAACCTCAATAATTGTAAATCTGACCAATATATAGAAAGCTTTGTGTTGCAAAGATCTGTTGATTGTTGCAACCTTCATTAATTGATGTAACTTCAGTAGTCAATCAGATGTGCATCCAATGATTACATTCTGAGAGTCTCATTAAAATCCATCCACTACTTGATGAGATATTTAAACTAAAGGAATGAGTGGTGATGAAAAAAAAACTACCAAACAGAACAGGTAAAACACACACACACACACACACACACACACACACACAC